AGGCCACTTCACTAAAACCACCTATCATCCAGCCATCTGATCTGCACAACACTTACCACTCTATGAGAGATGCTTATTACCTTCACTTCATGCTGACAGCAAACCCCAGTTCCAGCAGCACTTGTGAAACATCTTGGTCAGCTGGGCTAATCCAGCTATAAGCTTGTCACCAGCCACCTGAGCGTCATGGTTTTTCACCCGATAAGCTGCAGAACTCAATGTCTGGCTAATACGGCTGGGATGGAAGTTTGTTTTTTTCTGTACTCACTAATATGACTATGGTGAGACATGACCCAGGAGTTGGTGGAGGAATTTCAAGTTCTTCAATATGAGGGTGGTAGATCATTGGAACAGGCTGCCCAGAGAGGTAGGGGAGGTCCCATCCCTGGAGATATTCAAGGTCAGGCTTGATGGGGCTCTGAGCAATCTGCTCTAGTAAAGAAGTCCCTGCTTACAGTGGGGGGGGGGGGTTGGACTAGATGGCCTTTGTAGGTCCCTTCCAACCCAATACATTCTATGATTCTATTTCTGTCCGTCTGTGGCACACTGTAGATAGGTAAAGAAGAAAACATGCCTTAGCACTACAGAGGATGGAAATGTTCATAGGTACCCACCGGTAGGCCCCAGTTCTTCTCTTCTCTACCAGCACTTTTGTTGAGTCCAACAGGAGACAGCTCTTGCCCAGAGCCTTCAGCAATGGCTCAGTGCCCAGCGGGAGGTTGTAAGAACCAAGAAACATCCCATGTTCTGCTCTGCCTCCATGCTGCTTCTTGGATACATGGGCACAGCACATTGCAGTAATGCCCCAATGGTGTCTGAAACACCCACAGTGACATGCAGACGTCTTGGCTACCCAAAGGTGCCAGGAAAATCCTCTTAGCATAAGGACATGCTTTGGAGTCATCTGCCTCCATAGCTGTGTCCCTACCCTGAGACATGAACCCATCACTTCTGCTATCTTCTTATCTCTAACTTGCTGTTTTACTGGTGTGAACAATTCTTCAGGTGCAGAAATACCTGCCTTATCCTTATCTCTCTTTTTGGTTGAGGCTGAAGAGTGGCTGATCTGGGACAAATCTACCCTTTCCTTGCTTTGGTCACAAAAATGCCAACTGAGAACAAACCTTAAGGAATGTGCTGCCCACAGAAGGGTGCCAGGCTCAGGTATATACTCCACATGTGACATGTGACACGCTTCCCAACTACATGCTGGGCCAGTGATTTTCTGGTAACTAAACAAACCACATGGAAATGGCATTTCCCTGATTTTCACTGCTGTGTTTTCTCACTCCTTTCGGACACACTTGCCTTGTTTTGTCAGGAACTGCCAAATGTCAGCAAACAAGCTGAGAACTGCATCCCAAACGAACTCTGTAGCAGAAGAGCACATCAGGCTGTTAACCTAGGTCCTTCCCTTCAACACATCTGCATTAGCAGAGAGGGAAAAAAAAGGCATCTATCTAAAAATAAAATTATTGAACATTAAGGTGTTGCTATTTTTGTCAGAGATTAATGAATATTTTAAAGCTTTGTTTTGCTTGGTGCTTCTCAAAGAAAACACAGCAGACTTGGGTGAAGGGAAAGCAGTTGTATTACCTACATAAATGCTTTGAAATGCTGAGCAACTGTTTGTATGTTCTGGGCACAGACTGGCCCGGAACCAGTGCGAAGCAAAGGGCAATGTCTGTGGTCATGAATGTGTAAGTGAAGGTATGGAGGCAGAGAGGAAATGTAAATCAGACCTGATTCCTTGGTCCCACTTTGCCTGCAGTTGTGCATCTAATGAAGAAGTCTCAGCCTTTAATAGGTCTCATAGTCCTTCTGGGAGAATCAAATTAAATAATGGACTGGTTTTCTTGCTAAAGGTAGTATGAAGACTAGGCACAGAGGAGCCCACCCATAGGGTCTGTCCAGACTACGACCCTGCAAAGAAATGCAATGGGATAGCATCAAATTTCCAATTTAAGTTTGGAGATAGCACCTGCTACTTCAGAAAATGTATGAAAAGGCATGTAAATCTGCTCAAAATTGATAGGAACGGAGGGATAACCTGAAATGACATAGCAAGATAGGTGGGATACATGTTGTCAGGTGAGAAATGGAAGCGGTAAGAACGGCTGCACACTGCAGGGTGAGTGCCGTGGCAGAGAAGGGCAAGCCAGAGAGATACAGCAGCAAGAGGTGAGGTCAGGTCACACCGAGATGGGGGAAAAGCAGAGTTGTCCACGAGGCAACAGATAGAAGGAGCAGCAATGACGAGAGAAATTAAATGTCAAGTGGGCAGCAACTGTTGGGACCGCTTGGTTGTGGACATGCTGTGAGCAGAGTACGAAATGCTGGTGCATTGCACAGAGGTGGGTGCTCCTTCCCTCCTACCCCTCACACTGGCCACAAGGACTATGTCTGCAGATGGGGAAGGACGTGGTCAAGAGAAGCACATCCATCCTCCACGCTGGGAGATGAAAACACAGCTTCAAGGGTAAATTTACTGGCACTAAAACACTTATCTCACCACAGGGAAGTCTGGATATCATGTGTAAGGTAGGGAGATGAAGGCAGACATTGCTTCACCCCCTCCTACAATGAACCCAGCTGGTGGCAGGGCAGCATGCCGTCGTGGCCAGACGCCCAGGATGCAATCCAAGTCCACCTTTGCAATTCAGCTTTGCAAGTGCTTGCATTCTCAGACATAACACACTGTTGACTTAGGTGCATGGAAATGTGGTAGCCCTGGGCTTGGCTGCAGGGTCTCCTGGAAGAAATGAGAGAGCTGGTGACAGGGACAAGTCCTGTGGTTGGCACTGGGACAGGAAGCCTCCTAAGCCTGACCCAGCCACCCACTTTAAAAAGGAGATGGATAACTCACAGTGAATCCTGACATTATTTCATCCTATCTAGTATCATATGATCCACCTTCTAAATCCAAACTTCAATATGCAGTTACCCAAAAAAAGAGACAGTCCTCACACATAAGAGCCTAGAAGCTAGAGTTCAAAGTAGGTCAATATTAAGTCATACCCTGGCAATTAGAGAGAAAAATAAGGACAGTTAACTCGGAGCCACATGAAGCTTTATGCATTCAAAAACACCCATAGTGTTTTATTCAGAAAAAATAAACAGCCTAACTTTTAATGAGATTAACATGCACATGAAATGACATTTGCCATGATAATGTGAGCCACATTTTGCCCTGACAGTACAGGAGGGTGTGTACAATCCTCACAGAGGATTCCCAGCTCCTCCCAAATGCCTGCATAGCCATTCCCACTGACCTTTCTTAAGTTTCTGCTGGTGTTGAGTTGATCTTTGGTTCTCCCTTCAATTACTTTATTATTTTCTGATTTAGCTTCTCTATCAGTCCACCTTATTTAAACTACATCCTGGTTTGGTTTGGTTTTTTTGGTTTTTTTGAGATTTACATTTTTTCTTAGGAGACTTTCTAGGCTTCAGCCAGACGGGGCCCCTCTCTTCTTTCCCTTGGCTCTACTCACTGTGAGGAGAATAAAAGCCTCCTCTGTTCTCTTTGGAGAGGTTTCCAGCCCTTGTAGGATGGTTTATCTGGAAGTAACATTTCATATTTTTCCATGCTGCAACAGACACCATAGATTGATACACAAGTATTTTCACTGCTGAAGGAAAACCAAAACTTAGAAAATGCTCTCTCCATCCCTCTTTTAGACCAAGACAGAAGACGGATCTTGGGCACTCTCTGTACCCTGTCATCCTTGATCCTTTGATCTCCAAGTTCCTTCTTTCACAGGACCACAACAGCCAGAAGGCACCTCCAGCAGTCTCTGGTCCAGCACCCCAACATCTTGGATCAGTTCATCAGCACCTTCTCTGCTCCAGAGTGAACTGTCTCTAAAGATGGAGATGCCACACCTCATTGGGGTCATTAGCCCCTGTTGAACTACTTGATCACCCTCTCAGGCCCTTGCTGAGCTGGAGCTATGCTGAAACCTTTATCAAACAAATATTATAGAAGCAGGCAGGGAGGGCATTGTGCCCACTCAGGTTGTCCTCTGGGCCCTGTTCGCCTGTGGCTCCCTCTGGACAGCATGATCTCCACAAAAGGTACTGCTCGAGATTGCCCACACTGAATGCTCAGAGACAGGCACCTAGAAATAAAATCTGAACTAATAATGACTTTTTGAGGTTCTTCCTCCTCCATCCTGGTCTGTTCCATCTCCCAGATGTAGGAAACTCTGCATTTGAGAGGAACTAGGACTGCACAGAACTTGACACACTTTAATGCCCCTGTGTACCACGCTGGAAGGGGAACATGTGGAAAACCAGCCTTCCCTGTAAACACACATTTGACAGAACTTCCAACCTTCCTTCTCCTGGCAAGCAATTGTCTTGCCCCAAGTATAAATACATTCTTCAGAAATACATAAATGCATAACTTAAAACACGCTTTGATGCAGGGGGGACTCACAAGGAAAGAAAAACCACGTTGCAAGCCCAAGGGAGAGCTTATACGTTCACACAGCTCTATCTGGGTCCTTTGTTCAAGCCTTGTGTCCCCTGTACAACTGCAATGAGAGTCAGCAGTTTGTAGTTGGGTTCTGAGGCTGTGCTGCTGCTGTAGCATGGGTCTGTAGTGTTTATGGGTTTTTAACACCTTTAATGCTGTAACTTTTGCTTTCAGGCAAAGCCTGATTCAAAGAAAACATCAGCCGGTGCCCTTGACTTTAAGCAACATTAGGTTTTGCCTGGAAATGTCGGGTGTCCTGTCCTCCACGAGACACAACAACGACTCCTTGCTGATCCCTACCACTGCTGTGGGACAGAGGCTGTTTCCAGTGGGCTTCAGGCCCTGCACACCACAGGGCACAGATGGGAGAAGCCTTTCCAAAGGAGCAGCCTTGGCCTCATCTGGACAGGGCAATTGATGAGGCTGGAAAGCAGCTGATGGATTCTGATGTATTTAACACTCGAATAACTGTTGCCTCTATTAAAAATAGCAGTTCCCAAGGTGGGCATACCAGCCCAGGGGATCAGGGGTAGTCTTGCTCTCGGCCAGCCTGGAGCAGTGCTGAGCAGAGCTCGCTCAGGTCGCTCTCATCGTTCTCCTCTGGCTCGCTGCTGAAGTTGGAAGGGTTGCTGCTGGGCAAGCTGTGGCCAGAGCCTGTCCTCAGAGATGCTTGCCTCTTTGGGTCCGTGCTCAGCGCCAATGCATCCTGGAGGCACACACTGCTTGCACAGGCAGTTCTCTGGTAGTTTGGCTGGGAGTAATTCCTCTGGATGAAAAACTGCCCTAGCAGAGATTTCTGGAGGGTTGTTTGCAGTCTTTCACAAGTCCTCTGCTTTGTGCTCAGCCGGGTGTAATGCAAATCCAACTGCAGGACCACGTCTGTCTGGAAGGGAAGAGCAAAGGATGCAAAGTGAATCGGAGACCAAGACTTTAAGCAGAGCTTTTTCACTGTTGCACGCAATCAACAAAAATGACAGACTTGGCTGACTGTTCTGCAGGCTCACAGCCCCATGCTGTGGCGTGATGGAGCAATGCTACTGCCAGAGAAAATGAACTGTTGCATATGCTCATGACATTTCACAGAATCATAGAATCGTTTGGTTGGAAAAGGCCTTTGAGATCATCGAGTCCAACCGTACCTGTCCATTACCAAACCATATCTCTGAGCCCCTCATCTCCCCGTCTTTTAAATACCTCCAGGGATGGGGACTCCACCACTTCCCTAGGCAGCCTGTTCCAATGCTTGGCTACCTTTATCTGTGGTCCTGAGCCATAGTTTCTGGATTTCAGGACTTCTCCTGAAATCAGGCCACCTCACTTGAGACCTCATCAGCGTGGTCAGAGCACTGTCACTGGATGCTGGTACATCACCACCAGGATGCTGGTACAGGGGAGCAGAAAGGGAGGGGGACTGCACACAGGCAACCTGCACCCACGGGAGGAACAGCACAACATCCATCCTGGCCATGGCACAGGACTGCTGAGAGGAAAGCTAGGAGAGGGATATGAACCACTTAAATAAAATACACATCACACAGGAAAAGCCAAAAGTGTTAAACAGCAGCACTCCACAGGGATCCATTCACAGTCTAACACTATTTCAGATTTTTATAAAAGGTGGTGAAGAAATCAGAAAATAACCATATTCATGGCAGCTAAATCCCTGAATGTGAACTTGAGGGCTGTGTCTGAGACGCCTGGCTGTACAAAGGACAGGATGCATAATGGAGCAAGAAGATAATTTTGGCAGGCAACGCAGGGTCCAGGTCTCACATCTGCACTTAAAAACAATGCTGAATGCTTGGGAAGGGTTCAGAAAAATGCTCCAGGAACAATCAAGGACTGAAAGAGCTGCCATATGCCGAGGCACATCATGCACTCAGCAAATGGAGCTTGTTGTAGGCAGATCTAGGCAGCAGCTCGAGAGCAGCATTCAGTGTGAGCCTGTGTGGAGCACAGCAGATAAGCAGCTGGCAAGACCCACTGGCTGGGTGTTAAAGGGAAAAAAAGTGAAATGAGAAACAAGGTGTGCACTGTTACTTGGGAAGAGATAATCTGCTGGAAGATACAAGCCAGGGGACTAGCAATTCTGCCTCCTGAAAGTCTTCTGAAGTGTGCCAAAGAGGCATAGCTTGGATCAGGCTTGGTAGTGTCACCCTGATGGCAGGGGATAAACTCTCCCACTGCTTGAGAACCTGGCCAGTCCATGACCCCATCTTCCAGGCAAGCGCACATCCTTCATCTGAAACATTTGGGCTAGTCTGATCTCCCCTAGGCTGATACAGGCGAAGAACAGCCTCCCCGGCTGGGCAGTGCAGAAAACCAAGAAAGAACCAAGAGAAAGAGGATGGCTTTCGTGCCTTGAAGACCAACAAGCTCCAACATCGATCTGTATGTTACACTGACACAGACATGCCAGGCATCATCAGCATGGAGTCACGAGACACACAATCAGAGGGGCACATCCAGCTCAAGCCAGCGGGGATGTGCAGTAACAGTCACATGAGGGTGCAGGAGAATTGCAGAGATTTGCACCTGGCATCTCTCTACCTGAATTTTCTGTAGTCCACAGAGCTGGAAGACGCAGTCCAGCTCCTCTCGCTTGTACACAGAGCTGAGCAGAGACTCCACTTGGTCCAGGTGGCTTTCTTTCAGCATAGCCACATCGTCCATCTCCTGCAAAAAGGAAAATAAGAGGAAATGCAAGGAAATTTCAGCATCAGTCTGGGCATAGAGGTATAGCTGCCCACCAAACATGCTGCTTCCCTGCACACAGCAGTGCCCAGGGCTTGCTTGTGCCCTTGACACTTTGGCTGGTGGAAATGCTGCATACCCTTATGGAAGTACTACAGAGTGCAAGCAACAGAAATACAGAGATTTTACACACTTGCCTTGCGTATATCAATGGGAAGACCTAGCTAGACATCCCCTGAGGGCATCTACTGGAAAAATTGTGGTATAATGGGATTTCCAGCAGAGCAGATAGCAGCAACAGCTGGTATCACAACCATCTGTAGCATAAGCAGTGTGTCAAGGAGAAAGCAAGTTTTCCAAGGGCATAGCTGGAGGAAGCTCTGAGTCACGCCAGGTGACAAGTTAGCCCCCCACCATCTACAGAACTGTCAATTCTTGCTGAATTACTTCAATGTATCCCAAACAGCCCCATCTCTATGAAATCCTCTTCAGTAACAATCATATCTTGGAGCTACTAATAGTACAACAAGGGGCAAGGGACTAAGGGACTTATGGAACGGCATCTTCCTTTGGATTTGAGCCTTTTAAGCTGGGTGACAGCCTACAGTCCGTCAGCCCCTTCCATAAGAAGGTGCTTCCCTCTGCCAGCTGGCTTCAGCAGCTACCAAAGTGTGATCCTTCTGGCCTTTTCTTGATCAACACTAGGATGTCCTGGCCTGGCTTTGGCCATAGAGCTGAGCAGCCTGGGCAGCCTCACTGCAGCCACAGGTAAAGCCAGTGGTGCATGAGGAGGGTTCGACCCTTGCAAAACTTTCTCGCTGTTAGCAGAAGTTGCACTGGGCATGCTGATGAAGGAGGCTGTTAGGACACTGGCAGGAGACAGAAGTTAGAGAAGCCCTGTGAGCTCTTGCTAGCCTTTATATACCTTCCCTGAACTGCTGCCTGCAAGAGGTCAAAGCAACTTGTATCTGACCAGGAGAATATTGGGGGTAGGAGCTAAAATGTTGGATCCCAAATGCTGGCTGGGATCTGCAGGCATCAGGGTCACCCCTGTTTGCAAAGCTGGCAGAACAGGAGTAAAGACCACTGCTGATCCAGTAGGTCCATTGGAGTCAGGCTGAAGAAATACCATTTATCTCTGTACAAAGCAAAGCCAAATCCCACCTCCACACTTGGCAACTCATTATTGGAAAGATAAACTGGAGGGAGCTTAGGGAAGATGAGAGCAGTGAAAGGAGCTGGCAGAAAGGGAGATGGGTGTGCCAAGAAGGGGAGGACACAGTTCAAAGGGGAATGGAGCAGCTCTCCTGCTCAGGGAGCCTCCTCATGGTTCCTTCCACCAGCCTGAAACAGGAGACAGGCTGCAAGGCAGAGCACCTTCTGCAAATGAACACTGCCCTCTCCCGCTCTTTCCTTCCCTGGCTCATTGCATCAGGTACCGGCTCCCAGCTCCTCTCACGCTGCCACCGCTATGCTGACCCCAGCAGCCAGGTTAAAGTAAGCCTGGAAACCAAAGAGACACAATGCAGGGCAGCCTGGATGCCACTGACACAGGGCTTCA